AACAGTTAAAAATTTGACTTCAAGGACATGTTAGAGTGGTAGGTTCATTTAAATGAACACTGGACCCCAGGTCATCAATATGGCCATAGCCTTATGATGCATGCAGGCACTTTATGATGTAAAAGCATGAACTGAACATACATAAAACCCAAGCTGTCTATACCTCAAAGTGTTATTTTACAACAAGGGTGAAGAACCTAAGGCCCGTGGGCCAGATGCAGGCCCCCCAGCTTGCCTCCATCTGGCACCTGAGGGTTGGGGCTCACCCTAGCATTGGGGAGCTTGTGTCCTGTCCACCCCCAGTCATTTAAAAACAGCTGGTGTTTCTCTCTAGGGGTCGGGGTGGAAGAGGGAGGGGGAAGACTTCTTTGCTCTCCCATTCCAGGCCAATTGGGGAGAGGGGCAGAGAGAACAAGTCGTCTCCTGGCCTTGCCTCTTCCAGGGTGGCCCAGGACCACTTCCAAAATTTCTGAAGTGGTCTCCTTTTAAAAAATATTGCTCACCCCTGCACGAACTGGTGGGGGCTGCAGCAGCTCCCCACCAGCCCACTGCAGGCAGGGGTGATCCCGCTCAGCATAGTGATGTTAAAATGCCGTTACACATTTACACACCAGGGAAGCAGGGTGCGAGGAGAGGAAAGGGGGGGGGGAGGACAGGCAGCAGCACAGGTAAAGGGGAAGAAGGCAATTTTGTGGGAGTTGGTATAAGCAGGGAGCAGCAGTACAAGCTGGGAATTGCTTTTACTCATGAGGGTTAATTGATGAGCCCAGGCTTATCAGTTAACCATGCCTGGGGTACACGTTCACATTCCTAGCCTGGCCAGAGCAGCTCCTGTTGACAGCAGGCCTGGACAAGGTGTGACATGGGTAGGGGTGCTCCAGCCCAGCCCAAGTAGCTCTTGCCCACACCCCCTTTAATTACATTTAACCAGTTGACCAACTGGACAGGATTTTACAACCCAAATTTGCTCTAAACGAAACTTTTAAGTAGCCATCGTCTAACGTCTTCCTCTAAGATTTTTTAAAAGGAGATTTCTTAACATTATTTGAGCAACAAATATACATGGAAATAGCTAGCATACACCTGGGGTGGGGCATGGGAGAACAGGGGAAAATGAAGCGGGGTTAATATTTTTTAAAGCGTAGCTTTACC